GTCTTCGCAGCGGCCGCGCGCTAGACGGCCGCCGCCGCCCCGCCGGGGAACAAGCGCGCCCCGGAGGGCCAGGAGGCCGGGGTGGATATGGAGGAGATCTTCGGCGCGCGCGGCCAGAGGCTCACTGGCGAGCGACCGCGCGAGCGCGCTTGGCGACGCGCGGCGCGCACCGTCGTTCCGCGGCCGCGGGGCGCTGCGAGATTTCAATTTTCCTCGGCCGCGCGACTTCCCATGCCGCCGCGTCGCGCCATCCGGCTGCCAGCGGCCGGCCCAGCCGAGGGCGCGCGGCAAGCCGCCTTTCGCCGTGCGAGCGCGCGCGGCGGCGCGCGGCGATCTGTCCGAGCCCGCGGGGCGCCGCGAGATCGCAGTCTTGCCCGGCCGGGTGCTCCGCAATAGTGTCGGGCCCCGCCCCCGCCCCCCGCGCTCTTGGAGTCGCCCGCGCGGCGATGGTCTGGGGCGGGGCGCGGCCGCGGCCCGCAGTGGCAATTGTCGCAGCCAGTGCAGAAATGTTGCCGCGCTGGCCGCGCGCGCGACCCGCGCCCAGCCTCCGGCGGGGGTCGGGCGCGCAGTCTTGCGCGCGGGCGGAGGGGCAGCAGTGGCTTGGGTTTGCACGGGGCGCGCGCAATTCGACTCCTTCGGGCCGGTCGCAGGTCGGGCCCGCGTGCAAGTCGCATCTACAGGCTGTAGATTCGATTGCAGCAGCGCGCAATCTCTCTTAGGTGCGCAGGCGCGGCCATGGTTCGCGGCAGCAATGGCGACGGTCTGCGCGACCGCCCCGCGGCGACCGCCAGCGCGATGTTCGAATGGTTTGAACCGCGCAGTTGCGCTCGGGAGCGAAGGCGCGGCGGTGGCCTGCGGCGGGGGCACAGGTGGCCGGCGCCAGCAACCCCCGCTCGTCGCGGAAACGCCGTCGGAGGTGGCCGCACGGTGCCGCCCAGGGGCGGGGGCGAGGGTGCGACCGCGCCTTGCGTTGACAGCTTATGGACAGCGCGACATTCCCGCGCCTGGCGCGGACCTGAGCGGCGCGCAAATGGCTGCTGGATGGCCCCGCGGAGTCTGCTCAGGGGCGCTGGCGCCGCGGCGCCGCGGCGCCGCGGCAGCGCCGACTCCTTGCGCCGATCGTTGGCCTGCCCCCCCCCCCATCGCGCGTTGCCGCCGCGGCTTCTGCAAGCGTCGCCCCGCCGCGACATCGGGCGCTTTGCGACCCGCGGGCCTCGCGGACGTCTGCGGCCAGACGATGACAGACCGTCGCCCCCTCAGTCTGGATCCGGGGCTCCGCCGCGCCAGCGCGACCATGCCAGGGCATCGGCTGCCGCGCGGCGCCTCGGCGGCGGAGACGGCCGCGGGGTTGTTTTCGCGGCGCTTCCGAGCAAAACGTTTCGGGGCAAAGAGCGCGTCGCGGCCTCCGCCGCCAGCCGCTTTTGTAGCGGTGGTGGCTGTGGTAGGGCGGTGGCGGGGCGGGGCGGGGTCTGGCGGCGGCGGCGGCGGCGGCGGCGGCGGCGGGGCGGGCAGGTGGGCGGGCGGCGCGTGGGCGGGCGGGCGGGCGGATGGGGCGGGGCGGGGCGGGGCGAGGCGAGTCGGCAGCTTGGGCGGCCCCCCTGCGCCGCCCTGAACAAAAAATATTACGCGCGCGCTTGCTTATCGCGCATTCCAAAGCCTTTCAAACCTCATGCTTCGCAGACGTATCGACATCGAGCGCCCCGAAAACATAGCAGCAACACGTGGCTTTGCACCGTGACTTCTCACGGCGACTATGCCCGCGCGCTCTTGCGAATTGTTAAGACAACCAGAGGTTCGTCAAACTTCTCATCGAACGCGAGCAAACGGGCCTCTCGCGCGCGCGCATGTCGGAAGCATTCGAACGCCATTGTTCGCGAGTTGAGGTGGGCGGGCGCGATCCCTGTAACAAAAACATTCAAATAACGGCGCGCGCGCGCCACTCGTGCCCGTCGGCCGCGCGCGCATGTCGAAATCTTTCAAAAACCTTCATCATCGACGCGTGGACATTATCGTTATCGGCTTGATCAGTCTAGGCGCTGGCATTTGTTATTCCGTCGTCATTGTCATCGACGTCGTCGTCACCAGCATCGCCGCAATCATCATCGTGTCTGTTGTTGTCGACGTCGCCATGATACTGCGCCTGCCTAAATCACCATTTCGAACTGGAGTGCCCGCGCGTCAGCGCGGCTTGCGAGATGCGGTGGGTAGTCGCGAGCGGTTGGCGCCACCGCGGCCACGTCGGTCGCGCCAGACTATAGCTGGCCGTTCTGCGCGCGAGCCTGCGCACGCTAGCGCGTCCGCTGCGACGCGCCAGCCAGCGCCAAGCATTTTGTCGCAATTGCCACCGCATGGGTTTTGCAAACCAAAGTGCGGGTGGGTTGGTGGGGTGATTACACGAGCATTGGAGTTGACAGCTTATTGCGAACATTTCTGTTGCATTACATAGACAGCACAACGTCGATTCTCCTTTCTAAAAAGACAATAGACTCTACCCCCCCGGCGTTATCCCCGGTATGTAAATCATATGTGGTTATGACCACATGTCCATCCTACATATGAATTTACACTATGCGTGAGGGGGCGGGATCGACCCCTCTGAGGTTCCCTTGTTAAAAAACGATACACGCGGGGACATCTGTTGTTTTAACATAAGATTTGTTTCGCGAATCCCTTTCAAAAAATTAAACGAAATGCACACGCGCGCGTCGTCGCGCGCGCATGCCGGAATCCTTCAAAAACTTTCGGTGTCGGAAGGATTTCGCAAACGAGTTTCCAAAACACATACGAAAACACACGGTTTCGCAACACGGGTTTGCTAAACAAACTTACGCGCGAGCTCTTGCGAAATCTTAAGAAATCCATTGGTTTTTTCAATATTTACACAACATGCTACCAAACGGGTTTCGCGCGCGCATGTCGAAATCTGTCGAACGCCCTTGCGCGTGTGCCGTCGCGAGAATCCTCTGCAACAAATGGGACGAAGTGCAGACGCGCGCGTCGTCGCGCGCGTATGCCGAAATCCTTCAAAACCCATCGGTTTCGGAAGGATTTCAAACTCGCGTGTCCAAAACAACCCAAAAAAAACAGGCTTTCGCAACACGGATTTTCAACAAAAGCGTGCGCGCGCGCTCTTGCGTCGTCGTCGTCGTCGTCGCCGTCCTCCCTGCTCCCGCGTCGTCGTCGTCGTCGTCGCCTACGTCGTCCTCTGTCTTTCCTCGTGTTCGTCGTCGTCGTCCTCTTTGGCGTCGTGGTCGTTTCCGTCGTCGTTGTCGCCGTGGTCGTCCTTCCTCCTCCTCCCGTCGTCGTCGTCGTCGTCCGTCGTCGGCGTCTCGTCGTCGTCCCTCCTATTTCGTCGCCGTCGTCGTCGTCGTTGTCGTCGTCGTCGTCGCCTTCCCTCCTCCCTCGTCGTTGTCGGCATCGGCGTCGCCGTCCTTCCTCCTTTTTCGTCGTTCGCGTCGTCGCCGTCCTCCCTCCTCCCTCGTCGTTGTCGTCGTTGTCGTCGTTGTCGCCGTCGTCGTCCTCCCTCATCCCTCGTCGTCGTCTTCGTTGGCGACGTCGTGGTCGTCTTCGTCGTCGTCGTCGGCGTCGTCGTCGTCGTCTTCGTCGTCGTCGACGTCGGCGTCGTCGTCGTCGCGCCGTCGTCGTCGTCGTCGTCGTCGGCGTCGTCGACCTCGGCGTCGTCGGCGTCGTCGTCGTCGTCGGCGTCGTCATCGTCGTCGTCGGCGTCGGCGTCGTCGTCGTCGTCGGTGTCGTCGTCGTCGTCGTCGTCGTCGTCGTCGTCGTCGTCGTTGTCGTCGTTGTCGTCGTCGTTGAAGTCGTCGGAGACGTCGTCGGTGTCGTCGTAGTCGTCGTCGTCGGCGTCGTCGTCGTCGACGTCCCTGTCGTCGTCGGCGTCGGTGTCGCTGCCAAGTGCCATGTGGTACCTACCGTCACGGTCTTCAGAGGTTTTGCAAACCAAGTTGCGGGTGGGTGGGTGGGATGTTTGCAAGAGCATGGGATGTGTCAAATCATGAGTAAAAATCAATTGCACGACATAGATTTCACCACATATATTGCACAACGTAGATTCCACCACCCAGTATAGTAGAAACACAGGTTGGGGCTATGCTGGCTATCAAAAAAGTGCGTCGGGAAACCCATCGGGACAACCAACGGACAGCCGTCGACACACCCATCGGGGCCACCATCGGAACGGGGGAATTTTCATTCCACGGCCAGGCCGGCGCGCAGGGCGGCTTGTTTTTGTTTTGCTTGGCCTTCGCCGAGGAACGAGCTCGCGCAGTTTCCCCTCGAAGCGCCCGCGCGCACGTCACGCACGAAACGGAATGCTTCCCCAGTTGGGGCACCTCACGTTTCATGTCGGCTTCACCCCAACTTCCGATTCCTATATACCGCCAGCGAACCCGGCCTTCTTGGACCTCAGCAGGCGGTGGATATGAATATCTTCTGGCACGGGGCCCAAGCATATTCCTATTGGCGCGGGCCGTAATATCGGACGACTTCAATTCAACACGAGGAACGCGCAAGTTTCGGCCAGATCTGGGGTTTGGCAGGCCGGTAGGGGCCCTAACCCCCGTGTTGTCCGATCCCGCCCTTGCGAACAGAGCCGTCGTCAGGAGCCCACGCCCGGGCACATCTCCCTCGCCCCTGGGGTCCCAGGACATCGATTTCCCAGGCGGTGGATATCAGGGGAACAAAAAGTAACATAAACATAAAAACTCGGAGGTCCGCGCTGATTTCTCGGATCGGCACTGGGGCCCTCCGGCGGCGCCTCCGGCGCCGCCCCTGGCGCGCTCCGCGCGCCAGGGAGGGGGGTCCAGCGCCGATCCGAGAAATCCGCGCGGACCTCCGAGTCTTTATGTTTATGCCACTTGTTGCTCCCCTGGATATGGACAAGCCCCGCCCCGCAGGATGGAAACAACACATTTCGGCAGAAAACGCCCGCCAGAGCAGGGGGGGGAAGCGATGGGGGGAGCTGGTCCCCGCCCGCCCGCGGGGAGGTCCACGGTCTGGGCCACCGGCGGCCCTGGAGGCGGCGCCGCCCGCGCGCCCGCGCTCGCGCGGGCCGCCGGCTCGCCCCAGGGGTGGGCGCAGCAGGAGGCGGGAGGCAGCCAACCACTTGGAGCTCGAGTCATCAACAACTCGAGTAGGGCATCGACTACAGAATTGTTTCACCCCAAAATTGATTCTCCATCGAATCTCTCCATCGAATCTGCGACGAGGACCTAGAATGTTCAGCAATCGATCGGGACTTCTGCAAATTTTCTCAGATTCGACGAGAAAACCAATTTTGGGGTAAATCAATTCTGTAGTCGATCCCCTACTCGAACAACGGCACGAGCATCCACTTCTGCAGCTCCGCGTGGCTTCGACGGACTTGCGCTGCCCCCCCCCCCCCCCCAGCGGCGCCTCTGGCGCCGCCCATGCCGCGCTCCGCGCGCCAGGGAGGGGGGGTCCATCACCGATCCACGAAATCCCCTCGGGGCTCAATATGTGTATTTTTTGTATGCAGATCTTATCCTTCTGAAGAGCTACATAACGATAGCTCACGAAGCCCAGGCCGTCCTTGGGCGACTCAGTTCGGTCTTGAACAGGGCGTCACTTCGGTGAAACATGGAGTCACAGAAGGAGCCGGAGGAGATTCGCCGACGAAATAAAAAAACGACACCACCCCACCTACAGCCCTCCATGTTGCGCTGCGGCCCATCGGGCGCCGTCGCGTATATCATGCAAAAACCCACGCCAGATCTCCTGGTATGCGCTAAGCCTTGTGGGGCCGTAGGTGGGGTGGTGTCGTTTGTTGTCTGGTCCAGTTCGAGGCTTGTGGCTCGAGGTTCGAGGTCTTCCTGGGGCCTTTTCCCTAAATTAGGGTGGCCTAAGGGGTTCTTGCTTGTTAAAAGGTTGGTGCCTACGAATGTTACGTTACCCATTGCTCGGAGGTTCCCCAGGTTCCGGTTCCCCGCCCCTGGAGCCTCCTATTGTTATTTTGCCCGTTTCTCGGATGTTCCCCGGGATCCCCCCGTTCCCCGCTCGGTGTCAAGCAATGCCAAGCAAAGCCAAGCAATGCCGCCATTCTTGGTTTGGCTCTTGCAATGCCAAGCAATGCCAAGCTAACCACACCGGTTGCCGCCCTTCTTGGTCTTGCTCTTGCCCTTGCCGTCGCCGTTACTGGATGGGGATCCTTTGTCGCCTTTGGTGTCGCTCTTGCTGTCGCCCTTCTTGTCGTCCTTCTGGTGGTCGCCTTTGGCAGGACCATTTTCCTTTGCTGCCATTGTAGGGACCGTCGTCGTGCTCGTGTCGTGCTCGTGTTCCGTCTGCTGGTCCCAGGACTGGCTATCCCATCCAGAGCTCCAGTCGGAATCGTCCCAGTCCTGCTCGCCCCAGTAGGTGCCGTAGTCGTCTCAGGTGTCGTGCACCTCGTCCTCGTACCAAGGGTCGCCACTCTAGAAGCCGCCGAAGTCGTCTTGGCAACTCTTGATATGGTCTGCCTTCGCCATCCTGCTGAGCAATCCGTTTATCTTGCCGTACCAGTTGAGACCCCCGTCCACCTTCAGCTTGATGCATTCTATCTTCCGCCGCGGCAATTGGCTCCCTGTTAGTAGCAGATGTGATCTGCCGATGGCGTTGATCTCCAGGCCTGCAGTCTCTCACGACTCGTCGTGCACCATCTCGAAGGCCGCGATGTACAATGCCAGATCCCTGTTCCCTGCGAAACGCGAAGAACTTGTCGAGGTGGATCGTGACGTTGTCCTGCTCGTGAACCCCGTACTCTTGACCAAACCATCGAGTGAACTGCGATAATCCGCTGGGTTGCGCCTTAATGTTATGGGCTGGCTGTGCTGCAATCGCTGACACTGCGAATGCGTTCTCGCGAACGTAGTTGAGGCCATCCCGCTCGATAGTAAATCGAAGAGCCTGCTTCCGTACTCCTCCTTGCAGTCATGATTTCACCAGTAACGCTGCCCCCGTCTCGTCGGCCTGGTTCTTGGTCCGCCACCACATCGACAGGTTCTGGAGATATCTGTGTACTGGGTATCTCTGAAGTCCAGGTTTCCATCCTGGTGGTGTGTTCCTTTCAGACTCGTCCAGCGCCAAAGTGCTGCTCCATGGAGTAATCATCTTCTCTCCTTGACGTCCATAGTCAATGCCAGTTGTGAATGCTGACATCGCCGAAACTGAAGAGGCATGTCAGTAGTCATGCCAACAGTGAATGATGATATCGCTTAACTGAAGAGGGGTGCCCGTAGTCAATGTCTGGTGTGAATGATGATGTCGCCGATGTTTGAAAAAAGTTTGTCAATAACAACACGTGCCGAAGTAGTAGCCGTAGGCTGGGGACGAAGTGTCGCACGTGATGTCAACTGATGTCCAAGAAGCCTGTCTCGAACTTCCCAGGAATATGGATCTCCAATTGGTTGGTAATCGTCCTTTTGATCGTGAGGATGTTCACGGTGTCTGTGTTGAAGTCCACGGTGATTGTATGAATCTTTACAGTAACCCTGATCCGCTCCTGGTGGTGGTTCAGGTAGCCGATAGAAATGGCGCCGCCGATTGGTGGCCTGGGCGCCACGCGCGCGGGGTCAAGACGCTCCGCTACCAGAGCAGAGATCAGATTTACTTTGAGCCGTGATTTGCAAGACGGTCGAATGTACCATCGGAATTCCAAAATTGGTTCCTGCAGTTACTCTCGCTGTCCATTCCCAAGGCCTCTGGAACGGGGGCTCTAAACCAGAATCTTCGTCGACGTCACCAGGGGGGTGGGTGTGCGGGGCCAGGGCTGGTAACGGCCGCTATCGCGAAACAAAAAAATGCTCTCCTCCTCCCCTCTCCTCCCGCATCTTCCCTCCTTCCTCCTCGCTCCCCCCCCGCCTCTTCTCTCCTCTCGGAGTCTGATAGAACTCCTGCCCTGACACGTCGATCAGCAAATTCGCCGTTTTCGGTTCGCGAGAGGGCGTCGCTGCCGTCATTTTTGCGTGTCCAGGTCCGTCGGTTTCGGTCCTAAGCCGTTCTCACTAAAGGGAGTCTTACTAAAGGGAGGATTGTCCACCGCCGATCCTCGCCCACCGCCCCCTCCCCTCCCATGAGGCCTCCCGAGGGCTGCAGACATGTGACATGTGTGACATGGCCAGTGTCCTCGAGCCTCGAGTCCCGCCGCCGCCGCCGCCGTAGCCGCCGCCGCCGCCGCCGTCGTCGTCGTCGCCGCCGCCGCCGCCGCCATCGTGGCCGTCGCCGTCGTCGTCGTCGTCTTCGTCGTCGTCGTCGTCGTCGCCGCCGCCGCCGCTGTCGTCGCTGCCGTTGTCGTCGTCGTCGTCGTCGTCGTCGTCGTCGTCGTCGTCGTCGTCGTCGTCGTTGTTGTCGTCGCCGTCTTTGTCGTCGTCGTCGTGTCGTCGGCGCTGGCGTTGTCGCCGATCCTCGCCGCGGCATCTGGGGTAGGGCGTCCGCCCAGGGTGTTGTCCTGTGTTTGCCACTGCGCAGCTTTGGTCCACCTCTGGGCTGGAGCGACGCGCGGCGCGTCCGTTCGCCAGAGTGCGTCGCACGCGACCGCGGTCGCAGCTCGTTTCTTTCCGCCCGCCACGGTCCTGGGGGCTGTGGTACCCGTGTGCTTCGGCCGGCGCCCTGGCGCGCCCACCGCCAGCGTCGCTTGACGTGGCGGGTTGGCGACCACCTCCGCGCCGTCGCCGCCGCCGCAGTGCCGCCCCGAGGCTGCTTTCCTCCACGCGTTCCTCGCGGGCGCGGGACGACGAGCCCTGGTGGGACCGGCGGGGCGGCGACCGGCCGATGCTGGACCGCCCTGCGCCCCGCCGCCTGCCGCGCGTTCGGCTCGTGGGGGAGGGGGCGTGCTGGAGGGAGAGTGGCGTCATCGCGAATCTTAGGAGGAGGAGGAGGAGGAGGAGGAGGAGGAGGAGGAGGTGGAGGAGGAGGAGGAGGAGGAGGGGGGGGGGAAGGGAGGCGGGGGAGGAGGAGGGGGAGGGAGAGAGGGAGGGACGACACAGTGAAAATGTGTGACTGGTGCGTCTTGACAGTCTCAAATCTTGCCAGAATACCATTCCTGGGAGTTCGACCATGCGAATCATTGCCACGTTAAGGAGAATGGCCATCATGTTTGAAACTGTTGTAAACTTTGCAGGCGAATGCACACGGCGCTAAGGCGAGAGCCACATCTTGAAAACCACCCGCCCTCCATCAACGCTTGCTTTGCAAATGTTTGTCACGAGTGCACGCGGCGCTGAGGCGAGAGCCTCATTTTGAAAACGGCCCGCCTTCCATCCGTGAAACTGCTGCAGTTGTTGAGCTTCAGGATACGCAGCGGTGAAGAAGTCTAAGGCGAAACGCCTGGCCCGCCCTTCCGACACGTCAGGGGGTGCGACGGGGAGGAGTTATTTACAAGGAGAAGGGATCGAGGAGCAGGAAGAGGAGGAGGAGGAGGAGGAGGAGGAGGAGGAGGAGGAGGAGGAGGAGGAGGGGGGGAGGCCGAGGGGGAGGGGAGGAGAGGGGAGGGTGAGGAGGACGAGGGAAGGAGGACGAGGAGGAGGAGGACGAGGAGCAGGAAAAGGAGGGGGAGGAAGGCGTCCTGCAGGCGTTTGGCAGCTTTGGCCTCGCGAGGCCCGCTCTGGGGCACACGGGGCCGTCAAGAAAAGGGCAAATCGGGACGAAGACCTGGCCCCGGAGCCCAGGATCCGTTCCCAGGTCTCCGACGACATGATTCTGTCAACCAGCGGGTATTCCTTCGATTTCGGCTCTCGGGGGCCTTTGTCGGACACCGTGGCAATTGAAATAGATCTGGGACGACAAATTACCTCAGGGGGAAGCGGTTGGGATTTCTGCGGCCTCCGATAGGAAAGCTTCAGATTTGCGGATGTCAGGGTTTCTTTGCCAGCGCCAGCGTCAGCGTCCTCGTCGTCATCGGCGTCGCCGTCGGCGTCGGCGCCTTCGTCTGCGTCTTCGTCGGCGTCTTCGTTGCGGTCTCCGTCGTCGTCGCCGTGGTTTGGCGGATTTTTGGTGTGTTCTGGAGGCTCAGGGCGTGTCAAGGCTGCTGGGGACGAGTGACTCGGGCCCCGTGCCGCCGACTCCCGGCAGTAAGCTTGTGCGGCTCGGCGAGGGATACGAGGTACGAGACGCAGGTCAGCGGGGCGAGGCAGGTGGGCAGGCAGTGCAGGCGGGAAGGGACAGAGGGAAGACAGCAAGCCAGGAACATGGAGCAGGGAGAGAGAAAGAGAGAGAGAGAGAGAGCGACGGAGAGGGGAGGAGAAGAAAGAGGAGGCAGGGGAGGAGAAGCAGGAGGAGGAGGAGGAAGAGGAGGGGGAGGAGGAGGAGGAGAAGGAGGAGGAGGAGGAGAAGGAGGAGGAGGAGGAAGAGGAGGAGCAGGAGGAGGAGGAGGAGGAGGTTTTAGGACCAGTTTTATTCACCGCCGAGAGAAGAAGAAGGGGGGGACCCAGAACTAAAGACCTCCTGAGGTTAAGGGGCAGAAGCAACCGGAGGCAACCGCAAGCAGACGGGCCAGGCCGGGGGAGGGGAGAAAAGGTCCGCACGCGACAAGGATACGGACAATACGGCCGCGGGCTTTAAAGAGCATTCACGCGCGGCGATTGCTTGTCCGCGGAGACAAGCAAGAAACCGCTTGCCGCAGCGGTCGCCCGAAGCGAGTCGCGATTTTTCGTGGTGGTCATTGTGTCTTCGCAGACTTTCGCGCTCGGCGCATGACGCGAGGGCATGACATGGCATGACAGATTCGATGTGGTGACCATGTTCTTAATGTGGGCAACGCTCTCATTGTCCTTGATCTGGCTTGTAGCCCAACGCGGCGGGGCTAATGCATATTAGTTTGACTTTCGCGCTCAGCGCATGACGCGAGAGAGTGACAGACCCAACGCCAATTTAAAGTATTGCTTACCTAATGCGCGATGTTGGGAGTGCACGGATTAATACTTCCTATCCTTATGCATTTTAGGATGGGTTCAGATTTCTGCAGTCTATGTCAGGCCCGCGTTGGGCTCGGTTCAAGCACATGCATTCGATTGGTGGCGCTCGATGCATTTTCGCAGACTGCCGCGCTAAGCGCATCACCTCAAGGAACGAATGATTCGATGTGATTGCGAATTCCTGCTCGGCACATCTACGATGCCGGCAACATTCCGACTGCACTTCATCAAGCTTGCAATTTGCGGTGGCGGTGGTTACTGCATCTTCGTTGACATTCGCCCTCAGCATGGCGTGAGAGAGTGTCAGACTCGACGCGGTCCGGGAGCATTGCTCAACAGCCGCGCGATGCTGGGACTGCGCGGATTACTGACTGCTTCCAGTTGTTCTATGACTTTGGGGTGGGTTCAACCACCGGCGTTCACTTCCAATCCGGCGTTCATTTTTATGAATTCTGATACGCATCCACAATGATCATTGTCTGATGCGGCGCAAGGGTTCACTCTCAGCACACTCTGCAGCCCAACAAGAACAATCGGATCATGTCAACGAGGTGCAAGAATGCCGTCGGTCTCATCGTTGCCAGTTCCAATTCTGAGGCGTCAGACCTCACCATCGCCATTGTCATTTCAACCGCCGCCATTATTAGCATGAAATAATGACGGAGGGTACGATGACGTCTCACATGGAAGGCCATGAACAAGGTTTCCGCCTCATCATCCGCCCGCGCGACGACGTAAACACGACGAGGTACGCGCAACGAGTGGTACCACGTGCGACATGTCGTCCGCATGTCTCAAGTAATTCGTACCATGCAAGTACCACTTGGCATGCATGCGATATGGCTCGAGTGAAGCGCCGCAGGTTGCACCAGGCAAATACCAATTGAGTCATGTCGTTTGCGTGCTTCACTTGATACCGAGCAAAAACAAATCCCATTTGAGTTATATCGTCTGTCTGCTTCAAGCGGTACCCAGCAAATGCCACTTGAGTCATGCCATCTGTATGAATCCTGGTCTACCAAGCAAGTATCACTTGACACGTGTCGTCTACATGCCTCAATCGGTACGAAGCAAATACTACGCGAGGCGTATTATGTGAATGTCTGCCGTGATACAAAGCGAATGCTATTTAATCCATATGTTCTGTATGCTCGCAGTAGTACCATGCGAGTGCCAGTTGATTCATATCGTCCGTGCGTTTCAAGCTGCACCAAGCGAGTATCAGGCAACGGCCGCACTGGGGGGGCTCTGTGGGCCTACTTGGATGTTCTTCGGGATCTCGTCGGGGGCCTCCTGGGGAGGAGGTTGAGGAGGAGGAGGAGGAGGACGACGACGGAGTGGAGGAGTAGGAGGAGGAGGAGTAGGAGGAGGAGGAGGAGTGGAGAGGAGGAGGATGAGGAGGAGGAGGAGGAATGTTTGAAGCATCTGGGGGGCGCTGTGTTGGGGCCTCTTTTGGGCCTCTTGGCCTCGCGTGCGCCCTTTTTGGGGGCCTCTCGGGGGGGCCTCCCTGGGCGCCTCCTGGGGCGGGAGGCTCGGAGGTTCGCTTCGTGCTCCTCCTCCTCCTCCTCCTCCTGCTCTTCGTCTTCCTCCTCCTCCTTCTCCTCCTCCTCCTTGAGCCTCTCTTGGGGTCATCTTTGGGCCATCTTGGGGCGTCATGGGGCCCTCTTGGGCCGGCTTGGGGCCCTCTTGGGCGGTCTTTGGGCCCTTTCGGGGTCACGAGGGGCCGCGGTTTGGGGTGGCATCGAGGGCCTCTTGGGACGTCTTGGAGCGTCGGAAGCGCGGAACGTGAAGAACCCCAGGCACATTGAACAACCGGTTCCTCTGAGGAAGGCTCTTGGGCGCCCCTTGGGATGTCATGGGCGTTTTTTTGGCCGACTGGAAGCCATGTTGGGCGTCTTGAACCGACTGTTCGGCGACGTGGGGCCCTCCTAGGCCGTCTTGGGGGCTTTTTGGGGTTCTCTTGGCCCGTCGTGGGGCCTTACTCGGTTCGAAAAGTCACGCGACATGGCACGAGACACCCCAGGATGCACGCGGGAACTCCCAGAAGATTTGGCAATTTCGGTTTTAGGGCCCTTTAAAAGATCTTCAGGATTGATGACAGAGGCTCCAGGGGATCGGACAGGGGACCTGAAGACACCCCAATTCGCGCCTCAAGGGCACGGTGGCGGATGCGTCTCTTGGAAGGAGAATCTACGTGGTGCAGTCTGCGTGGTTCGCGATATGTGGTGTAAGCTATGTGGTGCAAACTATGTGGTGCAAGCTGTGTGGTGCATGCTATGTGGTGCGTGCTATGGGGCGCAAGCTATGTGGCGCAAGCCATGGGGCGGCCACGGGCGGCCAGCAAAACAATGTTGGTGAAAGCGCGAAAGAAGGCCCTAAGCGCAAGCATTTTTTGGGAACGCGGCCCTAAGTGCGAGCACTGTGCGGGGGGGGAGGGCCGCGCCCGAGCGACGGTGAGCCCGATCTCGGCAGACACGAAGTCGTGCTCGTGCGGAGAAGTCTGCGGGGCCTTACTGCCCCACGTGCGGCTGGTGCCGAGATGGGTGTGCGCATGCGTCTTTCTCTGGCGTCTCCGCGCGCTTCTTCGCGCTCCCCCCCCCCCCATCTCCACTTCCGCCAGGAGGGTGACTTTGTGCACCTGGAGGCGGGGTCGGCCGGGGCGGGGGCAGAGCAGGGAGCCCAAGGGAGGCGCGCTGCTCGTCGCCTTCCTGGTTTCACTGTCCCTCTTCGTCTCTCTTTCTCTGCGCCCGCTGCTTCTTCGGCCATCTGATCTGACGCTGCCTCGCAAAGGTCCGACTGTGACGAGACGAGCCCGTCCCTGGCAGCCTCCGCTCTTTGGCCTTGGAGGCCAGCCACCCCCATCCGCTGCTCAACATGTACGGGGAGTGCTTCGCTGGTGGGAAGGGCATCCATATCCATGGCCTCGCGGTCCACACTGTTTGGCCACGACCCCACGGATCCAGGCCGGCTTGGCGCAAATTCCCCGCGCGGAGCGTAGCCGTTGGATCACGTTTACACGGGACCACGCCTCGGGGTCCCGACCGCGAGGGCATGGATATGGAGATTTCCGTCGCTCGTGGGTACATCCTAGCAGTTGTTTGCAAATCCCATGTGATGGCAACGCTTTGCGAGGACCTGCGCTGGGCGAGGGCAGTAGATGTCGAATGTGCTTAGCCTGGCGTTTTAGTCTTCCCTTCTACACAGCGTGCTCAATTCCTGCTGAACGAGTAACCTTCCATTCTTCACCCTACCCACTACATTTGATCTCAACCGTCTGTCCTTACCAGGCAGATCCTACTCCGCAGTCGGTCATTCCCTGGCCGCCTTGTCGAACGCGGCAGTGGCACTGGTGACGATTTCCTCGAAACGCGGCTTCTGTCCATGTCGAAGCGAGTAACCAACACGTTTGACCTCGACAGCGCCATGGCAGTCCAAGCGGGCCGCGGTCTGGAGAGGATCATCGAGTGAGGGTGAACGGGGCGGTTTGGGTGCCCTTCTTCTTTCGGAGACGCCTGCGCCCACAAACTTTTGGAGGCGGGCCGCCAGCATCGGATTCGAAACCCTCGCCCAGCAGGGGTGGCAAGCTGTGCTCAGACCAGAATGAGAACGCCATGTGATCACGATACATATATATACATATATATATATATAACTATGTATGTCAGTGTATGTATTACTATCCAAAGCGATGTTTTCCAAGGGCCGTGGGGCTCCAGCGCGGAGGGCCTCTCAATGGTCGGCAATTTTGGCTGCCTGATGACAGGAAGCACGATTGCGACGTGGACCAGTTTTAAGCACTTAAAGGTTGCAGCGTGAAGCAACCGACGACGTTCTTTCCAGGGTGCCTTCGGTTTGTTGGGCCCCGAAAGATTTCCACAGAGAGGCCTGGAACCCGAGCGTTCCCCCTTCGCCGTCCTTTTCCCCGTTCTCCGTCCTGCGCATCACAGAAATTGCTTCATCCCTCCATCTTAGCATCCTGCCCTAGAAGGGGGGTCATAGTTGCGTCCCGAGTTCCTCTATGCGGAACTGTCCCGCCGGATGTTTCCCATGGCAGCAACTTGAGCGGCCACCCCCTGATTTTATTGCCTGGGGTTTGAGTGTGACATGCCCCGCCAGATGTTGTATCCCCAAGCTTTAACACAATGCTAGCTCCCGTGGACCCCAAACAGTTTGGTTCTAGCAGAATACGTTGTGCAATATAGGTGGAGCGGTCTACGTGGTGCAATGTACGTGGTCGAATATACGTTGTGCAATATACGTTGTGCAATATATGTCGTGCAGTCTATGTGGTGCAATCGACGTGGTGCAATCTGTGCGGTGCAATCAATGTGGTGCAATGTATGTTGTGCGATTTATGTGGGACAGTCGATGGTGTACAGTCTAGGCGGCGACCGGGCGGCGACGAGGCGGCGACGGCGAGCACGGAGCTGCCAGACCGCCACCGTGGCCCAGACGACGGGCGGCGACGGCGAGCACGGAGCCACCAGACCGCCACCCAGGCCCAGACGACGGGCGGCGACGAGGCGGCGACGGGGTGGCGACGGCGAACATGGAGCCGCCAGACCGCCACCCAAGCCCAGCTCCTCAGCACAGAAGTAAGAATCCCTAAGTGCAAGCACTGCTTGGGGAAAATGCCCCGACGGAGTTTACTTCATTGCCACGTTGCCTGAGGAATGTCTTGCAGAGTGTCTGCTCCCTCGGTCCTGCGGTTTCACTTTGCAGGATCTTGAGGTCGGAGAGAGCGTGATCCACCGCCGCTTTACTGTGGAACATGCCCCCCCCCCGAAGAAAACCAAAGAGGGGTCACTGCCAGTTCGACCCCCCCCCCTCCAGAAAACCGGAGGGGGGGTCACTGCCGGTTCGAACTCCTCTCCCTCCTCCCCGCTCACCGCCAGCAAACAACTCTGGGTCCCTGCCACCGTCAGCACCACATCCCCCACTGCTGTCCCCAGCACCACTGTCCTCACCACCACTGTCCCCACTGTTCCCACCACCGTCACTACTGTCCTCACCAGTGCCCCCACTACTGTCGCACTGTCCCCACTGTCCCCACCACTGTTCCCACCACGGTTCCACTCTCCCCACTTTCTCCACGGCCCCAACCACTGTCACATTGTCCCCATTGTCCCACTGTCCCACTGTCCCCGCCGCTGTCCCCCTGAGCTGTCCCACTGTTCCCACCACTGTCCTCACTGTCCCCACCACTGTCCCTACTGCACCTCTGTCCCATTATCCCACCGCCGTCCTCGCCACCGCCCTCACTGCTGTCGCCACCACCACTGCTGCACCCTCCACTGTCCCACTGTTTCCACCACATTCTCACTGTCCCCACTCCACTGTCCCCACCACCACCGTCCCCGCCACTGTCCCCACTGTTCCCACCATTGTCCCCGCTGTCCCCACCAGTGTCCCTACCAGTGTCTCACTGTCCCCACTCTCCCCACCATTGTCCCACCACAGTCCCACTCTCCCCACTTTCCCCACGGTCCCCACCACTGTCCCACTGTCCCTATTGCTCCCACCACTGTCCCACTGTCTCCGCCGCTGTCCCACTGTGCTGTCCCACCTCCCCACTGTCCCCATCACTGTCCCCATCACTGTCCCCATCACTGTCCCCCTGTCCCCACTGTCCCCACCACTTTCCCCACTGTACTACTGTCTCACCACTGTCCTCACCACCGCCTCCACCACTGTCCCCACCACTACCATCCCCACCACTGTCCCACTGTCCCCACCACACTGTCACGCTGTCCCCTCACCACTGTCCCCACCACCACCGTCCTCACCGCTGTCCGCACCACTGTCCCACTGTCCCCGCACCACTGTCCCCACCACCACCGTTCCCACCACTGTCCCAGCATCCCCACCATTGTCCAACTGTCCCTAGGAGCGGGAATCGTTTGCCAGCGGCTAGGGGGGGGGGGAGGGGAAGGGGTTCGAACCGGTAATGATTCCACCGGTTTTCCGGAGGAGGGGGGGGGGTTCGAACCGGTAGTGACCCCCCTCCCGGTTTTCGAGGGGGGGGAGGGGGGGGGTTCGAACCGGCAGTGACCCCCCCCCTTTTCATGATGGACTGGAAGGGGGGGGGATGGGTGTTCGAACCGGTAGTGACCCCCCCCCCCCCCGGTTTTCGGGGGTGTCGGGGGGACGGGTTAGGAACCCCCAGTGACCCCTCCGGTTTTCCGCCAGCAGCGGTAGAACACGCTCTTTCATATGGCTGCCATCTGCAGATAACGGGTACGTCGTCTCCTGTGCCTCCTCCTCCTCCTCCTATTTCGCTCATTTCATCAACCTTGTCCTCAGCCTCCTCTTCATCCTGTGGAGCCGTGCAGTGACGCTTGTTGCGCGCTCTGGTGTCTGTTGCACGCTTTGCTGGTGGCTTGCTAGCAAGCCACTGCCGCAGGATGACGCCGGTGCAAGCTTGGTGAGAGCTACGCATAGCGACCGAAAACAACATCCCTCAGCTCGAGACGCTGGGGCAGCATCAATCTAGGCCTCCCAGATGGGGTCGGAGGATCGCGACGCATCGCCGATGCATCGCCGATGCGGCTCGAAGTGGGGCCCGATTCGCTTCACGTCGACGTCGCCGCTGCATCGCCGACGCCGACGATGCATCGCCGGTACAGAGCAGATGCATCGCCGATGCGTCTGCGATATGGCGCGATCCTCCGACCACATCTACTCTGACCCCATCTAGGAGGCCTCCAGTCAATAGGCCGAGCTCCTTGGTCGACCAAGCATGGTGCCTACCCAGATGTCCGGCGCCGTTTTTCTTCTTCGCAGCGTCGACCCCCGAGGGCCTGAGCCACTCGCGGGGGCCAGCTCCTCGCACGGGGCCGTCCGGGGCAGAGGAGGGGGAGGACGAGGAGTTGGAGGAGGAGGGGGAGGACGATGACGAGGAGGAGCAGGAGGAGGAGGAGGAGGAGGAGGAGGATGAGGAGCAGGACGAGGACGAGGAAAAGGAGGAGGAGGAGGAGGAGGAGGCGGAGGGCAAAGAGGAGGAGGAGGAGGACGAGGAGGAGGAGGAGGAGGAGGAGGAGGAGGAGTAGGGAGAGGGAGAGGGCACGAAAGCCTTGGGGCCTTCAAGGAACGGCCCCAGGGGCCTTCGGAGAGTTTCGGTCGAAGGGCGCTCCCCGAGGTTTGGGTTACGTAGAGCCTTTCTCTTCTCTTTGTCCCGCAGGTGGACCTCCGCGGCCTGCACTGCCCCTTCGGCACGCTGACCCTCGCCTTGAACGCGGAGGAGCCCGAGGCCCCGGGTCGTCGTCATGTCGTCGGCGTCGTCGCCGTCTTCGGCGTCGTCCTCGTCCTCGTCCTCGTCCTCGTCCTCGTCCTCATCGTCGTCCTCGTCCTCGTCCTCATCGTCGTCGTCGTCATCATGTTGAAGACTCTTCTGGGTGTTCCTGGAGGTCCTCGTCGCCACGGCTGGATGCGGCTCGGAAAGCTGGTCAGTATGGATCCCGGGAGGGGCCCAGAAACCGATTTTGTGAGTCGTCGGCGGGGGGCACCGTCGCTGTCGTTGTCGTCCCCCGCCTCTTCCACCGCGTCCTCCGCGCGCGCTCGCGTCCTCCGCGCGCGCTCGCGGGGGTAGCAGGAGGAACATAATCATGAAGAATGAGGAGGAGAGGGTGGAGCAGGAGGAGGAGGAGGAGGAGGAAGAGGAGAAGCAGCAGGAACAGCAGGAGCAGTAGGAGCAGGAGCATGAGGAGGAAGAGGAGGAGGAGGAGGAGGAGGAGGGAAGGAGTAGGTGTTAATGTTTAGGCCACGGTGCCTGGCAGGAGATGCAGCGCAGTGTTAACAGCAAGGCTGGTAGGCATCTTGTCGTACGGAGCTCGCCCCGCCAACGATTCGACTCAAATTGCATTCGCCTTCATGGAAAAAGGCTCCTGCCACACGTGAATTGCAGTGGAGCCCTTGGTTCGCCCCGCGGGCTCCAGTGTATGCGGTCAAGTCCGCAAAGCATTCGCCTCCCTGCAATGGCCGCCGCGGCTGCCGCGACGGCTCCACAGAACCCTGGTGCAGCAGGGCAATCAACTCAACTCAGGGTTGTTCTTCGAACGCAGTGCTACGCCAGGTACCACGACGGCGGACAATGACGAGGCGCTCACAATTCCACAGACGAGCTGTCACGTGAATGCCCTCTTGACATCCACATCAACAACATGTACTGCGAGGAACAGTTCAACAACTTGGGGGAACACGTTCGGACATATCTCCAGCGTCAAGCGAACGCTTCGGAGCGTGCTACCAAGATCGCGGAGGCCATGCACTCTGCTGGAAACACCAGGGCTGGAGGAGGTGGAAGCGAGCCCGTGGGCGAGTTCAACGCAGCTCAACAATGAAATGCGTGCTCGCGCGACTGGACCGAATTGAGGGAATGGACCGTGAAGTTGTTGAATGCGCTCGCGTGTTGCATGGTTATCGGGAGGTCTTGGACTATTTGAACAACAAGCTCGATACCATGGATGAGGCATGGCTAGATGACGAAGAGTGTGATCGACTAATAAGCATGGATAGGAGACTCACGCTCAGCGACTTTACCAAGGCATGGCATGCCAAAGGACACGAAGACGCCGCGAAAGGTGAATACGAGCTTGGCGAGGACGACTACGCCAAGTTGGACGAGGACCTTTGGTATCTGTCGAACGACAAGTCGGAAGGGGACGGTGCCCCGCAGAAAGTGCGAAGGTCTTCGTGAAGGCGGCCTCTCAGTGGCCCACCATAATACATACACATTGCATTCTGCCGTTTCTGGAGTTACGCTCTCCCGCAAGATGAACCTGGCAATGAACCCTGACGAACCCAACTAGGCGAACGATGTGGCGACCCAGCTCGAACACTGGAGTTATTGGCAGAGTCTCTGGAGAAGTTTGGGTCTGCGTATTCGTGCTGAGGGTCATCATGACCCACGCGGGTGATTGATTCGACGACTGGCGACACGATTGCTTCGAGATGGCAGAGTCGTTAAACCATGACACGTATCCGGAACTCTTTATCAAGTGCGAGCACTGGGCCAGGAAAATAATACTGGACGCTGACTCAATGAACAAAGGGTCTGTGGAAATCGGCCAAGTCAAAGATGATTAGGGTTCCGGCGTGCATGATTTTAGTTAGTACAGCGAAAATGGGAAGTGGTGGACTTGGAGCGTGGAAGACACGAGCGGCAACTGCGACACCAACGAAGTGGGCAAAGGAAAGGGCAAAGGTAAAAGGGCCCTTGCGTTACAAATGTGGAGGATATGGGCGCGTCGCCAAAGATTGCGCCACAAAAGCGGGTCGGCAGCGTTTGGACCGCAAGTAA